CTTTATCTTGTTGTGGTGCTCAAGTATTTTATAAATTCCAGCTATAAGCCCCTTATCTGACATGTCATTACCCAATACTTTTTCCCAGTCTGTGGCTTCCCTTTTTACCCTGGTAGAGAAGTTTTTTGAAGTGCATAGGGATTTGATACGTAGAAAGTCCCATTCATCTATTTTATCTTCTCCTGGTTGTACTTGGAAGACTGATTATGTTGTGGGTTAGGACTACTAGAGTTCTTCCAAGCTTTTCTTTAATGAAGTTTATAGTTCTTGGTTTTAGTCCTAGATCCATGATCCACCTTGAGTTGTTTGTTTGTTGTTTGTTTTTTTTTAATATGGAGTAAGGTGTGGATCTTACTTGAGTCTTCTGCAGATATTTTTCCAATTTTGCCAACTCCATTTATTAAAAAGACTGCCATTTGCCCACTTGACTGATTTCATCTCCTTGTCAAAAATCAGTTGACCATAGATAAACTGGCTGATTTCTTGGTTATCAATTCTATTCCATTGATCTATGCATCTATCATTGTACCAGTACCATGCTGTCTTAACCACCATGGCAGTGTAGTAGGATTTGAAAACAGGGAGTGAGTTGCCTCCTACCTTTTTTCTATTTTTAAGGAGTGCTTTGCTTATTCAGAGCTTCTTTCCATTCCAAATGAAACTGGAGGTTACCTTTTCCATCTCATTGAAGAATGGGAGTGGTATTTGTATTGGGGTTGCATTGAACCTGTAAATTACATTTGGTAGTATTGCCATTTTCACAATATTGAGTCTTCCTATCCATGAGCAAGGAATATTCTTCCACTTTTCCAAGTCTCTTTTTGTTTCTTGTACTAATATTTTGTAATTTTCTTTGAATAGATCCTTTGAGCTTCTGGTTAAGTTTACTCCCAAGTATTTAATCTTGTGAGTAGCTATTGTGAAGGGTATTGTTTTTCTTAAATATGAGGCCAAATCCAACCAGCTCACACCCAATTGTGAGCAACAGTCCCCACCCAAGCCTCAACCAAAATAGAAAACACACCTTTGTAGAATCCAGATGCTCCACTCATCCTCCCATACTGGAAGAGTTTTTACTATGCCACAGATCACCAAAAGAATAAACAAATCTGTGGAGGATGTGCAAACAGGGTGGCCCTTAGAAATGAAGATGGTGAAATTTGATGATTGACTTAGGTTTAATTAAGGCAAGCAGAGAGTGTAGGAAGTGTGCAGGATTGGGCAAAGTTTTCTTCTGTTTCACATAGGGTTGCTATGAGTTGGAGCTGGCTTAATGGCACTAACAACAATATGAAGGCAATAATAACATACTGATTGCACAAGTCTACTGGTCACTAGCACAAGCACCAAACTATATCTAATTGCCATTGAAACTCATAGAACACTGGAGCTCATAGAACAAAAGGGACTCGTCTGAAAATTTTATTCTTAGCCTAATCTAAAATACATGTCACTCTTTATAATAGCAAAATTTTTATCTACCTGATGTTTTTAGTTAATAGATATTTGTATCTAGAGTTGCTGCATTTATTTTTTGAAGGGTCACCTTCTCTCTAAAGACTTTATGGTTCCCTACCCCATGAAGAATGAATCACTTCTCTTTTTATGTCCCTATTTTATCATGTACGTACTTCTGTTATAGAATCTGTAACATTTCATTATCCTTACTCATTTACATGTCTGATTCCATCCCCCACATATACTCTAAGGTCTATTGAGGCCCAAGGTCCTAAATGCCCCAGAACAAACCAATATTGGCCCATTCTTTTCTAACAAGGGATAAACAAAGACATTTTTCTTAATTTTTTCTAAGTATCTTAAGTGCTCCTGTTGGGAATGATTTAAGTTTTTGCTAAGACACATTTTATCTTTCTTTTCTTTCCTGTTGAAGTGATGTGGTGCAGGCAAACTGGACATGGTAAGGTAAAATGTGATTAGCACACTTCAGGTGAAAATGGAAAATACCATGAGCTTTAGGACGTTGGCTAACTATCATAACATAAACAAGTTTGAGAGGAGGTTTACTATGATATAAGCTCCTGTCAGAACCCACCGAGTGCCTTTATAAAACTCCTGTTGCTGATTTGCTGCAAGACCAGGGATAGCAATTAAAGCAGCAATAAATTGCTCAATAAATTTTTATCTGAGCTCCTAGGAACCTATTCCTCCTGTTTCTTTTCACAGACTTCATTTCATTTTTGGTTTTCAATGAGACTTTACTATAGAAGTCTGCTTTTCCTCCATCATATTATTTATTCCCTATAAATCCCATTTATATTTTCTGTTCTTTTTTAACAAACTGAGTTGACTCTGCTGCCTAAACTTGGAGTATTAATGTAAAGATCACAGAGAATCATAGTTTTAAAATATATAAATGATACTTGAAGAGTAATAGCTGATAATGATAGTATTATTATTAGTAACAATAATACTGATTTACCAGTGGTTTTGTATATGCAATATGGCAACCTTTTTCTTGCCAAGCTTCAGAGACATAAGCAGTTAATTTGACAAAACAGCACTCATGTGTTTCTCAGAAATATTGCTGCATCCTCAGACTGAGAAACTGGCTCGTCCTATGGGAAATGGGAACCATAACATCAAGGTTAAGTCTTTGGGATTATTTTATCCCAACAAATGGAAAGATCAGGTAAAATGCCACTCTACAGAGGAGACTAAATCCTAGAGGAGGCCAGCCAGTAAGGAAAAACCATAAGCAAGACACAGCACTAAGTATCATTAAACATATGAGTGCTGGGGAAAATAAATAAAGAATTGATATTAAAAGTCCCTGGGGAGTACAAATTGTTGACAGTTTGAGCTGCTAAATGTTGATATACATGTCCACACATTGCATCTCTGAAGAAAGATCTAAAGACCTATTGAAGTCAGACACTGAATTCCCATGAAAACAACAAAAATCTCATGGGTTTTGTTTCCTTGATTTAGGTTCGTGGTTTCACAGGATATTCTAGTTAACTCACTTAATGGTGCTGGTGTTTCTGTTCTCCAAGTTCATTGTGTAGTGCCTGGGATCTTAAAAAATTGCAAAGTGAGGGAGCTCTGGTGGCCTAGTGGCAAGATGCTGCACTGCAATCCCAGAGGTATGCGGTTCAAATCCATCATATGCTCTGCTGGAGAAGGAGGGGGCAATCTCCTCCTGTACCACTCAGATCTGATTTGATGGTACACGTAAAAATAATACAATAAAAATTAAAAACAAAAGATTGCAAAGTGAACATGGAGGCATAATATCTCTGGTGAAACGGAAGAAGGAGGGTCAAGAATAGAATGAGGAGATGAAACGTGTAGCTAATTGCCTTTATAAACAACTGCCTCTTTTGCCATATATACATATATGTATAAGGGGAACTGGATTGTGCTTGGAGTCTGTTGTTATGTGCCATCAAGTTGCCTGTGACTCATAGTGCCCCTATGTACAGCAGCTCTGAGCCCTGCCCTATCTTGAGCCGCTCTCACTGACTCCAACACACCTACCCCATTGCCCCAGTAACCACATCAATCCATCTCCTCTGGTCTCTTCCTCTCCTGTGCTGTCTTTTTACCCTTCTGAGCATGATGTCCTTCTCCAAGGATTGGTCCCTACTGGCCGTGTCCCCAAAGTATGTGAGATGGAGCTTCAAAATCTTTGCCTCCATGGAGAGATTTGGTTTTGCCCTCTCTAAGACAGACCTATTTGTTCTCCTGGTAGTCCATGGTATGTTCGATACTGTTCTCCAGCACCACAACTCAAAGGCAGGTATTCTTCTTTTGTCATCCTTAGTCATGGTCCAGCTTTTTGATACATAGCAAGTGATTCCAAAAACCATGGCCTGGAGCAGGCACACCTTAGTCTCTAGAGTGGATCTTATTACTGATAATTTTTATCAAAGATTATAGAATCATGCCAATCAAAAAAGAGGAAAAAACAGAATAGAATTAAAGTCTCATGAAATCTATTTGCTGTAGTCCTCTGAGTCTGGATGAACCTCCCAATTAACCTGAAATGAATGTTAAATTTGAAACAAAGACTATTTCTTGCAGCCATCATAAAGCCAAATAATAGTTTAGCTTAATTAGTAAATAATGAATGTCTTAAACATTCTGCTCTTTTGAATCTATTTAACTGGGAACATTGGCAACAGCAGCTTAGGTAACAGTGAGTTTGCATAATGAAAAAGAAACAACTCCAAAAAGGTGCATGAGGATGGTTTTACAACTCTGAGAACATAATATCACTAAATTGTTTATGTAGAAATGAGTTGAACAGGTATACATTTTCAATAGTAACATGAAAAAGAAAGTTTTAGAGGAAGAAGAATATTATCATTCTCCGTCATCCTCATAAGAAGATTCCATAGTAGGTATCATTATGGTTTTAATTTTCTGGACAAGGAGATGAGATGATATAAGAGAATGATACATTACCCAAGTTGCATAGTTAGTAACATTGGCTTAGGAAATGACCCTTGAAGTTTGATACCGTCATTGATGTCAGTTCTGGTTATTTGTATTCTTCTCTTTTTCCTTCTCCCCTCCCCCAAAAATCTGGGAGAAAAATAACTGTATGACTGTGTTTGAGGAAAATGTTATTACTTATACCCCGTTTTCTAAAAATTGACCCCATGGTCCTAAAAATTGTTCATTACTATTGGTACATTTTACTCAAGAACTTTTAAATTTGTGAGGACTAATTAAGCCATCCAGTTCAATATCACATGCTTCTCCTTACAAACAGGAATGGATGGTTTAAGATGGGGGGGAGGGGAATCTCATCATCTAACAGAATATTCAGGTTGTGATCTGTCCCAATCACCAGTACCAGGATTTGGCATCCATCATAATCCTAGATAAAATACCTTTATTGTAAGAAAATCTGTAATTTATTTCTTCCTGAAGTCCATGGAACAAATCACACAGAATTTGTCATCCAAAAGTCTGTGTTTAGTTGCATTTGGACCCTGGAATGTTAATGGAAAAGTACAGGGAACTCTAACTTTTTTAAACTGTAGGACTTTCTCAAAATTTTTGCATGGAGAGTTATCTCCAAGTGCCGATCCTTCTTTCTCAAAATTAACTTCTAGAATTAGACTTGTCTTCAAGAAGCTAAATGAGCTTTGAATCTGTATAATAAAAATTTCATTTTAAAAACTATTGTTACTTATTTTCTTTTCCAACATGTAGATGATAATAATAGGAATATATGAGAAAAGTCTACATAGTAGTAGTTTTACTTTAGAAAATGTTACATTTGTTTCAGATACGTAAAGATTAATCTCACTTTCCTAAGCTGTTTATAATAAAGTTTCACATTTATAGTACTATAAAATAACTATTTATGTTCAGAATAATAATCACAAGATTAAATAGCTAGAAGAGGAGGTAAATTAATTCAGAAAATGTGTGTGGTGAAGATATCTTTTGTACTAGACATAATACTGTTAGAATATGGGAATATAAAATGAATAAGGCATAGTGCCTGCCTCGTATGAACAACACTTAAAATATTCAAACCCTTTGCTGTCAAGCCTAAATCAACCTACATCTGATCCTCCAGTGGGTATCTGAGCCTGCAATTACACAGAAGGTGATTGCCTATCTTTGTCTGGCAGAACCTTGGTGAACTAACCACCAGAGACGTGTGGCCTTTGAGTGAGCAGTGCAGTCACCTATGGACTGTGCAAAAAGGCCTCCCTAACTGTTTAAAATAGAAGGCAGGCAAGTAAGTAACTGGTGACTTAGTGGTAAGGATTTGCACTGCAGTCCAAAGACACACAGTTTGAATCTACCAGCTACTCTGAAGGGAAAAGATGAGCAATCACTTCCCATGCAGCTTACTGCCCCTGAGAACTATCTGGTTCCAACAGGACAGTACACAACTACAACAATAACAGTGTTTGATAAATGCTATGATAAATGTTATGTTGTTGTTGTTGTATACTGTAGCGTTAGAACCGACCCATTGCTGTCCCTCTGGCAGGTTTTCAGAGGCAGTTAATTGCATAGGAGGAAATTGCCCATCCTTCTCCTGCAGAGCAGCTGGTGGCCTCAAACCATTTGCTTTCTACATTGCATTGCAGGGGAAAAAAAGGTAAAAGAAGAAAAAAATTATAAAGAAACAGGATGCTAAGAAAACAATGAATAACAAAAAGGGACAAAGTAATTTTCCTTCTAAATATTATTTTTTTAATTGTCTTCTTATAACTGTTCACCCATATGCCAAGTTAGAAAATGAAGAGTCATCCTTTGGACATGTAACAAGGAGAGACCAGTCCTTAGAGAAGGACATCATGCTTGGAAGGGTGTAGGGACAGCGCAGGAAGGAATGACCCTCTATGAGGTGGATTGTTTGAGTGACTGAGGTAATCGGAATGGGTGTGTCAGAGTCAGTGAGATTGGCACAGGACAGAGCAGGGTTTAGGGCTTTTGTACATAGGGTCTCTATGAGTTGCAAGTGACTCAATGGCACATAACAACAACAACAACAGCATCCTTTAATTAACTTATCTTTATTCCTGATGTTAACTAAGCAACAGTTGCATCTTTCACAAAAAATCTTGTCCTTCCTCAAGTCATTTGTGGAGTCAAAGGTATATTGTTCAAAGTGGCTTTCCAGGTCATTGACTTTGACTTTCACCATATGAGTGGCAAGGAACTTAGCATGGGCTGTGTATAAGGTATTTCTACCATCGTCACAGTCTCTATGATGCTCAGGTCGATTCTTTCAATCATTGTGTCCATACATCTTGTTGAGGGGCTTCTTACGGCAGTTCATGGTATAGTCAATACTCCCCTTGAACGCTACAGTTCAGAGGCACTGAATCTTCAGTTTTCCTTATTCATTTTCCAGTTTTTGTATGCATATGAATGAATTGAAAATACCATGGTTGGGTCGGGAACATCTTAGTTTTTAAATGGACAGCATTTCTTTTTAGCACTTTAGGGTACTTGGCAATGAGTTTGTCCAATGCAATGTCTTGTCATCTGATGATGGTCATGGTATTGACTGTGGATCCAAGTAACATGAAGTAATTGACAATTTCAAGCTTTTTCCCCCTCATCTGTCATGATGTTGGTTCAAACATTCCTCTAGGTCATGTAAACCTCGTGTACAAGTTGCCGTACAGCGATAACTTGTGGTTGCTGTGAGGCTGAACACTGTGACACGGATGTGTCAAATGCGTGAATGGTTGGTTACCCGATGCGGACTGAGAGTGGGGTGGAGCTCCCTGATTAAAACAAGCATGGAAGCAGGAGTGGCATCCACTTCCATAATAGCTTGCCTCCAGAAACCCTATGAACCTGGAGAGAGAATGAAAGGCACCCAAGCATTGAGGACTCTTCTTCATAGGGTCGCTATGAGTCACTTGCAACTCGATGGCACTTAACAACAACATCATGATGTTGCTTATTGGTTCAGTGGTGGTTTTTTGTTATTGTTCTTGTTTTATCCTTGATATTGAGTTGTAATTAGTGGAGAAATATAGCAAATTAGATACCAATACTTTTCTGGCAAATGTCTGATTGGAACACAAAGCGTTATCCTCAGTCTTGTTGTTGTTTTTAAGTGCCATCAAGTTGTAGACGATTCACAGCGACCCTATGAACGAAAGACCTGAACACTTGTATAACTGTCATAGTTTTTCCATG